ATAACCTAAGAGTAAATTCATACATCATGCATACATGTAGTAAGGGCAATTTTTTGGAAAGCAGGAACCAAGCATGACTTGTTAATATAAGGATATTAAAGAAAACACTGAAAGAATGAGAATAAATACATCAATATCCTTAGCACCCTTAGGCCGTGAGTTGAGATCAGTATGCAGGTAGCTGCCTATTACAAGTAATTTCCTGTTCACAATCTGTCACTACCAGGAGTGTTTTTTCCTGATTTATACAGTAATCACCGACTTTTAAGATTTAAAGATTAGTCGCAATTGGGAAACGATCGTCTATGCCAGGCATGTTAAGTGAATCACAATAATACTGAACAGGGAGGGAGGGTGGTCTATTTTAATAAGATAAGCAGTCAAATAAATCTCTGTATTTGAACCATAAAATGATGTAGGAATGAGAAAACATAGCTACGTGCAGTTAAGGTTACCTTCTTTGTGTCTGTAAATAAATATCACCAAAAATGTTACTGAATCTGATGCAATTCACCAAAAATGAAACAACAAAATTTGAGTGGGAATTATGATTTTTGAATGTGGTTGCAAATTCTACAAAGTCATTCTGACAGTTGTTGTCGGCTACACGTTGTCAACTGTCAATCCTATTTAGGCTAAATTTATACAGCTATAACTGACCATGGACCGACTGGGTTTGTCCATGATCTGTAAAGTTCCAGTATACCTTTGAATGAAATAAAGAGTACTCTGAGAGTATTGCCACATACATGTATGCTTGTAGAGTTTCTCCTTTCAGTACCTGGCACAAGACAACTAAATTTCCCATAGGTAACAATGTTAACTTTCAGCTGAACAGCCTGAACTAATGAAATACATATACATTTGTTCAAATGACTGTAAGTTACCTGTATCCCAGATACTTGCCAACAACCAATAACATTTTTTGTGTGGTCATTATCGGAATCAAGTTACACAGTTAAAGCCCAAAAAATGGTATTATTTTGAGCCAAATCAAACTGTTTGATGGTGTATTGGCCAAACTACAATTTCAGCTGATCTTGATTCTACCCACAAAAAATAGTCCCTTGAATTAACCTTTGAGTGCCAAAGTCAACTTTTGTCACATCATTTTTTCATATTTTTTCTAAAATTTTGTAACCAGAATTTAAAGTTGTCTTTCATCACCATAATGCATTGTAAATACTCAATGTACATAGCTGATAAGAAGAATTACAACCATACATTTATACATGTACAAACACTGTGTTACACTGTTAGTGGCTAAATTTAGAATTAGTACCAGATCTATATTTTACACCGGATATAATTGAACAGATGGTCAAGTAAGTAATCTATTTAAGACAATAAAAGTACCATTCACAAATATTTGAGTAGACTGCAGTAAGACAGTGTATATATCACAGGTTTCTATGTTGTACTCAACACATTTTGTTGTTGTTAGCAATTGTGGGGTTTGTACTGAGTAGACTGCAGTAAGACGGTGTATATCACAGGTTTCTATGTTGTACTCAACACATTTTGGAGTTTGTACACAATTATTTCATCAATATTGCTGCATTGATCCTGAAAACATGCTTGGATGCTCCAGATCTCGGAATCACTATCGATTTAAATATACATTGGTTAGAACCTCTGGACTAAATAAATATAGCACTTATATCAATACAACAATACATGTCTAATAGACACTCAGTGGATTTTATCATTTGAAGTGCTGTCAAGTAACTGTATAGAATAAATAAAGATATATCAAAAGCAAATTTAGCACAAATATAGTTACAGTGTCACCTCAAGTACCAACAGCCTGATTAATTATGAGATTTAGTATGCAGATATAATAAAATAGCATTGTTTTCAAAACTATTGCAATCAAAAGTGCAATAAATTTATTAATAAATACTGTTTGCTTTATTAGTAATGCATGGCACTATGAATATTACAGATTTGTGTCTATCGTCAAATTAAGTCATACTTTAATAATACAGCATACAATAAAAGAGTTTCACTGTGCATTTTATTTGAAGATGCATTCTAAATAGAGCATATACATTTCAGAATTTTGCATTAAGTTCATTGGTAAGTATACTACATATTTACATAGTATACATGCTATATTTACATAGTATACATGCTATATCAGTATTTAAGAAAATTAGATAAACTCCCATGTGTTGATATATGTTGGCTAATTTCAAGCTGTAATATATATGTAAGCTGTATGTGGACACAAGCATGGATCAGTCCATGTCTCATATTGGCAACCTTTAGTTAACAGCGTACGTCTTGTGTTTTTTGATTCACTAGTGATAATATTTATTTGAGTTAATGAGTTGTAAAGAATAAGAATATAATTCAGTCAGTTCACTGATGAGGAATACAGTTATTATTAAATGTAACAACAGAAGTCAACATTTCTTTTGTACATTAAAGGAGTCTCTATTCAATCATGGTCATTCAATTAGTATATGGAAAGAGGGTAGTGATTCCAGTAGAATTGCTTATAAAGCTTTTTGCATTTACAATGGTAAATGTATGTATGTCCACATCCCTTTTGTTGTATTAATATCAATCAAGTCCAAACAGCCAGGCTGCTCAGATTACAGTGTACCTAACAAAAATGCATTTTCATTTAATTCAGCCTCCAATTAAGTAGTGTCCTCTGAATTCAATATGGGTTCTGGTTATCACATTTATGCATCACCCTAAATGTCTCTTTTATATAAGATAAGATAAGACAACTTTATTGACATTATTCTGTCTATAGAAGATAAACATAGTCAAGTAAAATAAAAAAAAAGTAAAGAGGATAATCAAAAAACTCAGTATATATGTATGTATTAAAATAAAGGATGGTAAATGTTCATTGAACCATGTGATCGAACACTAAAGCTGGATTTCATATTCACACTAGGTGTGTTTGCATAAGTTTTCACATCAATAAATCAAATCAATTCATTTTAACTGTGGGTGGCATTGATACACTCATTTTATATACAGCATATCAACTGTCATGAAAGCATAAGATCAAGAATTATCTTTAACATGAAGCTAATTATATGCTAATGACAATAAGGTTATTTAGATTTGTTCAGGAATAACAATAGAATAGAATAGAGCATTGTTAAAACCATAAAGCAAATGGTGGGAAAAATCAATCAAGCAAAAAAACAAAACAAACAAAAAACATGGAATAGCTGATTCACTGTTGGTTGAACGGAATGTTGTTTACTACAGTTGACTAAATAGTGTCAAAGTGCTGATAATATTTTGATATTTGATGTTTTAATAATGTACTTAAACTGTTTCTTCTTATTTGTGTTTTGAAAGTCTACATGTAAGTTGATTTGTTATATCATGTTGCTTATTTTATTTCTATGTTCAGTGAATAAATTACAGCCCATACAATGATTGGTTTTTTGTAGCAACGAACCTGTTTCTATTGCTATTGGTGGTGGCTTATTCTAAATTGTGCTATTGCTTTGGTGTACTTTCTGTTATTATTAATATGGTGTATACATGTATGATGTTCCATTGTGATGTTCCA